TGTAATATACATTTCAATTTGACACCCAATTTTCTTTAGAAAAAGATAACTTTAGTATGAAAACAGTGTACAAAAAGTTTAAAAAAAGTGAAGTAATAGATACAAATAGCGGTGGACCCGGTTATTGGTAGGAGAAACCCGGGTCCGCCCCGGTTAAATCCGGATTTAGGTCGGTGCCGGGTATCCGAGCGGTCTGGTCCCGATTCAGATCCAGCCTCGTTATATATATTTTTTTCTTTTCTTCGTTCAGGGCTGAAATTGGCCAATCCAAGGCTGAAATCAGGGCTGGGACAGCCCTGTTCAGTTATTAAATGGTTGAATCGGGATCGGGTAACATACCTGGGCGGCCTATGGGCGGTACCGGGGGCAAAGCGGATTTTCTAGACCCAGTCTGGTCCCTAATAGTGCTGGACTCAAATCCGGACCGGGCCAGACTGGGTCCATCCCTAGATACAAATATACAGTAGAAAAGTAAAAAGTAATGGATTTTTTTAAAAAAAAAATGTTCATGTTTTTTAAACAGTCTAAAGTAAAGTAAACAATTTTATAGGAAAGAATGATAAGAACAATCATAACTATTAGTGATTCGCTTGAAATAATTCAAAGTATCAATTATCTCTTCAAAATCCAACTATTAAAAAATCTTCTCAAAATACTCCACTGACTTATAATTGTACATAACTTATACGGAGTAATATTTATGAGTAAGTGGGGTATTTTGAGAAGATTTTTCAATAGTTGGGATTATTTTGAGATAATTGATACTTTGGATATTTCAAGCAGATCACTAATAATTGGGATTATTCTTATCAATTATTCCAATTTTATATTCATTTATTTCTATTTCTTTCTTTTCAATTTATTAAATGGTTTTTAAAAGTAGGTTCTTAGATTTTTTGAATCTTTGTTTATTATCTTTGAAAAGGTTCACATAACATGTAATCTATGAGGTCGATATTAATTGATAGTATAGTTCTTACCTAATCTTTACATTTATATAGTAATGTTTAATGTGATCATTCTAGTTTTTATTTTAATCATTGCAAGACTGGGTTTTATATATGTATGCAAAGAAAATAATACTATTCTAGCATAATACTATTCTACTTTGACGTTACTTTATTTATTAATGTATTACTCCGTAGTAAATTAGTTTAAAAAAAATTGTTAAATTTGTCTCATGGTAAAAAAAAATCTGTTTTTTGAATTTATTACTAAATAGAATTATACATATATTAATGATCAAAGTTTTTCATCGATAAATGTGAAAAGTGGATCGTTGAATTTATTTAAAAATGAGGTAAGTACTAGAAACAAAAAGTTGAAACAAGTGATATCTCAATCGGGCGAGAAGAAAATCCAAAATTTGAAGAATCCATATTTGTTAATATATCAATCTATTTATGTTATCATGCTTTAGGCCCATTGTAAGAAATTAAGTTTGGATCGCCCAGACTTATTACTGCTTCTGAAAGGAAGTGCACACTGTGCTTTTTGTTGAGCCCATGTGATGCTTAGGTGTTATGCTTTTTTTTTGGGTTGGTTTAGTTATTAGTGGGTTGGCTCATTAACCTGAGAATTAAAGTGTGGGCATTTTTAATCCAAACAGAAAAAATAATGGGTAATTCTATTTACAAACACCATTTTCCTTAATACAGTCCCCGATTGATTTTGATTCCAATATTACCATTTTAACTTAAAATCGAGCCAACCATTTCACTAGCCAGAACATTCTCCATTTTATTCACCAGCCCGATCATTCTCCATTATAACAAGGCCCAATTGTTATACTCCGTAAATGAAAACCATATCCCCATAACAACCACTTTTCCATTAAAGAAGATGTACATAAACAAAGCACTCAAAAACCAAAACTTAAATCCAGCTTCCTAGATGAGAATCTTCACCGCAATAGCCGAAGACTAGGGTCTTCTCTCCTTAATTTTTTTTTATCAAAATCTTCTTTCCTTAACTTATAAAAGTCCATCTCAACTCCTTTATTTTTTTCCTTAGTCCATTCATCACGCTGCGTCCGGCCAACCGGAGTTCCTTTCTTGCACCCAGACAACCTCCGATACAGCGCGTTCGACCTTTCCATCTTCCTAGCCCCGATGTGATCTCCTGGCCTTCTTTAGGCCGAGAGCTTCCTCTACGTATGTGCTGGTTTTTTTATCTCTGCAACCTCTGTCCTTTGTTTTGGTCCGTCTTCGTTATCCTGGACGTCCGCGGCTTCGAGAGTTTAAAAGCTGACAGAGGAAAAAATCAAAAAGCTAGAATCAGTATTCAACCCATCTACGCAGAATGGGAAAAGACGAGACAATTTGGACCAAGAAACAAAATTAAATACTAAAGGAACTAGGAGAAAACGAAAGAGATGAAGATGAGGAAGGCGGTGCTGGTTTTGGCTGCGCTGACGACCGTTTCCACCGTCCTGGCTTTAACGCTTTCCATGGCGGAGCTTGAAGGGCATGGTTTAAGATCTGGCTGGTGAACTAAATCAATTTATTTAGTGAAATGGTTGCATCGATTTTATGTTAAAAGGGCAATATTGGAATCGAAATCAATTGGAGGCAGTATTTAGCAAAATGGTGTTTAATTTGTAAATAGAATTACCCAAAAATAATACGGAGGATAATAAATTTTTTTTCACTTTTAAATTTTCTTTCCAAAATAGCGTAATCAATATTTTCTTTTCAATAATACTACGTCTACTCTAAGCTTTAACACCCTACATCCGTGATGTTAAAGCTTGAACCTTTGTACTATTGTACGTATGCTTGTACCCAGCCCTACTACACTACAGTTTAATGCACTAAACCTCCTCGTGAATTTTAAATCATAAAAGGCTAATGCGCCAAATTCATATTTCAAAAGGGGATTTGGTGCATTAAACTCGCACTACCACTTATGAAAATGATGAATTCAAAATAAAAGCATACTAAGCAAATAAATGTTACAAATATAAAAATGCTATAAAAAAGTAAATGCCAAATTTCATTTCTAGATGAAACATGTGATCCACAACATTTCATTTTATTATACTCAAAATTGAATCACAACTTTTTTAATCACTTTATTAATAATTGTGTCAAATCAAAACAAAACAAATGAGATGAATGTAGTATATATTAATCTCAGTCATGATTAAAATGTTCTCCTTCATAAGTTTTGAATGATATAATACTCTCTTTGTCCCTATATAAAAGCATCCGTTTGAATGACAGACACCCTAAGAAGAAATACTGTTTGGACGTTGTTTGGCTATTTGGCCCTGTTTAGCACTATTTTGTTTGTCAAAAAAGGAAATGAGACTTTTATTTAGGAATGAATCGAAAAGGAAGCAAATATTTTTATTTAGGGACGAAGGGAATATAAGATTAGGGGCTATTAAGTGTATAGAGAGTAGTCTAAGGATGTTTTCTTTTGGACTATTTTCAGTCCCAGGCCAGATCAGAACAGTTCAGATCAGATCAGACTAAATCAGATCAGACTAGACCAACAAATTTTAGTCTAGAAAAAAACATCTAAAACGTTGAGGCCGGAAAAGGAAAGCTGGAAGATGCATACATTGCGGGGTGAGACATGCTTGACATGTTCTTACAAATTCTGTTTCATCACGAAATTCAGTCTCAACAGATATATCGATGGATGCATTTATATGAGTCGAAAGACTTTTTTAAGGCTTACTTGCTTGTCTCGAACATGTGACATCGACTTGATATAAAGCTCGCTCTTATTTACCACACAAACCGGCATAACAGGCAATTCTGAAATTGACTTTCGGTAGGCCCCTCGACTCACGCATATGCCATGCCATGTCCAAACGACACTTCATTACAAACAGGATGGGCATGGTTGGTATATAATTATTTATAGAGAGGAAGAAAGTACTACTCTTTTATTGTGTCCGGAAATTATTAACCATTTTCAAATATCTTTCATAAAATATACTCCCTCCGTAACTTTAGAATCTTTCACTAGTAGAAAAATGGCTTACAGTGACACTTTTATAGTGACACTTTTTTAAAATAATGCCACTGGTGACATAAATGTGTCACTAATTTGCAACACAATATATCAAAATCACTTAATGACACTTAGACGTTTTTTACGGAGTATATTTTAAGTTTTAACGCGCGCATAACAAGTATTTGGGCCGGGCTGCATAGTTTATTATACAGAGTAACCAGACTTGTATATCTTCTCGCCTCTTTCCCTTTTCGAACCCTAGCTAATGAACTCATCGATCGATGAAGGGAGCAAGGATGAATACTCGAATGCTGTTGTTCCCAACGACTTCGAAGAAGATGCCGTTTCCACTTCTTCCGACGAGTTCAATGACGATGCCGTCACTGCTGCTCCAAACGACTTCAACGAAGATGAAGCCGTAGCTGCTCCCGACGCCTTCGACGAAGACGACGCCAGCGCTCCTCCAGACGACTTTGACAGTGAAAACCACTGCTCCAGGTTAACAGAAGAAGACCTCATGCTCTCCACTAACATTTGACACACCACTCTACATCAACCGGCGAATAGGACGCACGAATTTCTGCTCTCCAGCCATAACCACCAATCAGCTATCTTCCACCTGCGGTAAATTTTCAATTTTTTCTATTTAGATTATACTGTTTATTTTTTTCACTTTGGCTGAATTACCTGAATATACTGTTTATTTTCTTGAATTTTCAGAGAAAACATGATAAGTTCTAGGTATTTAGTTTATAATATCTTTTAGGCTGCAGCTATTGTTTATAATATGTTTGTAGAAATGCCCAAGCCAACTTTACTATAACTTCCAAATGGGAGTGATAATGCAATTGATCTATATGATTGCATATCCTTTCTATAGTTGCTAGACCCGCAATATTATGCAGTATTGTGGTTGCTAGATTAACAGGCTTTGATTGAGTGAAGGACATTGTAAGTTGTTGCCGAATTACCGTTTTAGCTTTTTCTCTCTTCAAACACTAAAAATATTTTCTTTATTTGTATGAGTGGCGTTCAGTATCCAATGTTTATGAAGGAGTTTTACACTAACAGATTCTTTCCCCAATTGAGGTTGGGTTGCATATTCTCTTTTCTTGAAATAAAGGTATTAATGTGTTTTTCACCAATCTGCTTTCCACAATTTTAATCTTCTCCTTGTCACCTATTTCCAAGGTTATCTAATGGTTCTTCCTGCCAGATCAAAGAATGCCCGTGGACAACAAGCATCATATCCAATTACATTATTCTATACCTCCAACATGCCTATCATTCTTCAATCTGCACTAGTATATAACCTCTATTTCATATCTCAGTTTTTTTTAAATATTTTTTTTAGTTTGTACCTTTTTAAAATTTCATATCTCGGTTGTTATACCAGAAGTATGGTTTAAACTTACTTGTCAATCTTTTGGGTGTATGGAAGCAATCTGAATACTCTAGCCAGTCTATTCCTGTTGGTGGACTTGCTTACTACGTAAATGCACCATCAAGCCTTGCAGACATGTTGGCCGCAAACAAATTCCATGCTCTTTTCTACATAGATGGTATGTTTTACTATATTTGACATTTAAAATGAAAACAAGTATAGATTGAATTAATGGTATGATTAGATTGCAGATGGATGACTTGTCACAAAGTGATTAATAGGTTTTTGTTTTGGCAGCCACTAACCTTCCTCTAGGACTTAGGTGCCGCCTACTTTGGCGTCTTGAGAAGTGGATAATTTTCTAAACCAGTTATCTATATTATGGTGGTGAAAACTTAGTTGTTTTAAAGTTCTCTGATTAACTAATTCTAACCGGTTGCCATTTTCCTATTATTTAGGTGCATTTGAGATGAGTCTGAGTTGTATCTGAAATTCAAATGACCAGTTCAATAAGGAATGTCGTTATATACTATTGGAGCAGCAATCGTGTGCAGTTTGCAAGATAAAATAAGGTGTTATATGGTGCAATTATAACTTATTTTAAGTCACCTAAGTTCTAATGGTAATATGTTTTTTCTTCTCTATTTGATGATCTTAGGGAAAAGAAATACGTTAGTTGGATCAAGAAACATCTATGACATGGTCAGGATTTAATCATGAGGTTGTTTATTTATTTGACTTTTGATAATATCCAAGACATGTTTATTCTTAATTTTCATTGGACCATGGAAGACTATTGGAATGAATCGATGTCCAGGTGAATTAGTTCTTTCTACAATCATTTTTAGAACTCTTTAAATGTTCTAATCTACAAATGCGAATACTGACCAAAATTTCACATATACTTGTAGGTGGTCAGTATTTACTTAAATGTAGGGAGTTTCAGCATTACGAGAGAGAGAGCCTTCGATGATCTTCAATTAATGTGCATCTGAACTGTATCCTAAATCTGACAATTATTTTAGGATGTGGTAAGATTCTGTCATACGGGATGATTAGTAAAAAAATGATATTTCTTATTTCCAGGCAATATGGAAATTGGGAATGGGTATGGTGTTCCTGGTGGTGGTGCTTATTATGGTTTCTGAAGACGAGCATCATTACCTCCAGTAAGACTGATTCATTACTATTTTGTTGATGTGCCTTCTCGAAATTGTTATAATTTGATCTTTTCTGATTTTCAAGCAGATCCTGTCCTTGGCCATTCAACAAATGAGTCCAAGGACAGAGTGCAGTGGGGATTCTAGATGTAATTCTGCAACTAAAGAGTTGCCTGAATTTCGCAAAAAGATATTGAGAGCTAGGGGTATTCTGAAGGGCGATCCAACAATGGATTCCACCCCGCCTTCCAATGTATGCTAATATCTTCTCCTCTGGCACATATATATTCCTGTTACTTCCATTAGGAATTCAGGATCTGTTTTTTGTCAATATGTTTTGTTTTTAACTTTTTGCTTGAAACATATACCTAATTACCTATATTCACTAATCTAAAATTATTCAATCTAGAGATCACACATGTTGCCATCTCAGAAGATGCTGCTTTTAGAATTGCCTCCAGGGTGGGTAAGTAATTAGGTGCTCTTATTATGTGCACAGTTTTTTCTTTTTGTTGCAAGGACCGTCCACCTATCCAAGTCATGCTAACAGTAGTGGTAAATAAAACTTGTACTATGGTTAAAAGTTGACAATAAGAACATTTAAAAATAAAACCGCGATCTGCGATCCACCTATTGTTCTACAATCATTTTTAGAACTCTTTAAATGTTCTAATCTAGAAATGCGAACCAAAATTTTACATAAAACGATCCGACCTGCGATCCACCTATTGTTATTCTCCTGCTTCCATCAGGTTTTTCAGTTCACATTTGCTTCAAGAAAGTGGAAATTATGCACCTATATAAGAATGGCATGCATCAATTGTACCGATTATTAATACTCATCTGGATATGGTTAGCCGCGAGAGTTAATCCAGTCAATAATCAAATGAAATAAATTTCCTATTTTGATTTGTTTCAGACTTGCAATGGAATTCAATTAGGATTTTTTCAGTTCATAGTTGCTTCTGAAAAAATGAGATTCTATAGTTGCAGACAGAGAACGACATTCATCAATTTTTATAAGAAAAAATTTTACTTTTCTGAATATTATTAGAAGAGAGTTCACCTAGTAAAAAAAGTTCTTGTTTTGAATGGTACAATTTTACAAAAATACATAGCGGATTCACAAAGTTGCCATTTAGTTTGTACTCCACATTTATCATTAATGAGTCTCATTATAGTTTTAGCATGGTAAGATTTTTAAGTTCTTATATATGTAGTCAATATGATTTCTATTCTCATATTTGATGGACACTGTTTTCATAATAATCATTATCATTGACAATTTTGACTTTTGTTAGTTTAATCTTATTTTCTATGATGTTTATGTACTTGTTGATTATTAGAATTGCTAAGTTAAAAACTATGTAGGTTATGCTCAATCAGATATTGATAAAGACTTGCTTTATTGGATGTTGGATGCGGATGGTGATGCGAGGAATAATGCTGTCTACGTGTACAAATAAAAATGTTGGAACCGATTAAAGTGTAGATTTATAGCATATTGTAATATACTTTATTGACATTGACATTGTAAAGTAATTTGAGTAATAAATACAAATGTTGATCTTTTATTTTGATTATTTATTAATACTTCTATAATGTATAATAGTATTAGTAAGAAATAATATAATGATTATAATAATATTAGTATCAAAATATGACATCAATGTATCATAAATTTTTATGATACCAATGTGTCACAAAATCTAATGATACCAATGTGTCACAAAATCTAATGATACCAATGTGTCATAATCTTGTATCACATTAATCTGTCACAACTTACTGACACTATAATGTCTTACGATCAGTGATACTATATTTAGTGTCACTGGCCGCCACTTTTCCCGACACTTTTTTAGTGTCGCAGAAACTTTCAGTGACACTAAATTAGTGTCATTATAAGCCCTTTTTCTACTAGTGTTTCCATTTCAAAAGTAGGTAGATTAAGAATAGTGAAAGATGATATGAATTATTGAGGGTATGATGGGAAAATAGTGGAATAATGTGGTGGAATGTAGGATAAATCCAAAAAAAGTAGTTGTAATAGTGTATTATTTTAAGAATTATTGAGGGTATGATGGGAAGATTTAAAAATGGGAAGATTTTTGTGTTACGGACGAAAAAGGAAAGTGGGAATATTTTTAAGTTACGGAGGGAGTACATGTGTAGCAATTATAAGCTTATCTATTTATGATTAAAATGAAAATGAGATTATATCTGGTGCATTAAATTAATTCTAGATACAAAAAATCGTCTGTGATGTTCAAACTATGACAAGGAACATCTCTTCAAAAAAAAACTATGACAAGGAACATAGTGACACTTTGTTTTTTCAATAACATATCTTACCACCCGGAAAAGTGTATTACTCTCTCCGTTCCATAAAATAGTTCTTGCATTGACTTGAATTGGAGTTTAAAAAAGTGGGAATACAATGGAAACGTATGATTGTGGTTGAGTAAGAAAATAAATAAATAAATGGTAGCACAAATAATTTTCCAAAAAGGGAAATGAGAACTTTTCTTTGGAACTGACCAAAAAGCAAATCGGGAAGTATTTTGCGGGACGGATGAAGTATATAATCACATACTCATATCTCTCTCTCTCTCTCTCTCTCTCTCTCTCTCTCTCTATATATATATATATAGAAGGTGATTATTTAAATTCACATACTTTTTCCTAAAAAAACAAGTTCATATAACCCACATTTTGAAGGTCCGTCATAGAGGATGTGCAAAAGAGGTAAAATACACCGTACAGCCGGCTGTACCGTGCTCACGGTACAGCCGGCACTTTTTTTTTTGGCTATGCGCTTCTTCTTTGATTGATCTCGCTCTGGTCTTCTTCCTCGACTTCGCACCTGGTTGATTATCATCAACGCTCACCACTCGTCTCTTTCTCTTCCAGGTTGTTGCTCGTCGTTGCCTCTCACCGCTCATCTCCTTCTTCTCTAGAATGGACACAACAGATCCTCCCTCTGTCTTTCTTTCACTCTTTTAGTTTTTCTCTTCTTCTTAATAAGTTTTGGTGTTTGAGATTGTGATTTTGGAAGACAAAGAGAGTCTGCTGCAGACATAGGAATCCCCACTGCTATTGATCTCAAATGAGTTTTATATTAAAGTCAAATGAGTATACTCATAAAAGAAATGAACAAACATAACTGGATATTAAGCACATTAAAAAAGAGTTTTGTATTAAACTTAAATGAGTATACGCTTAAAAGAAATGAACATACACAACTGAATATTAAGGACATTAAAAATGAGTTTTATGTTAAACTTACATGAGTATAACGCCCAAAATCAATGAGCATACACAAACCAGCTTTTGAATTTTTTGATACTCATTTTGTAAATTATGTATGCTCATTTGATACTGCTTTGTGCTCATTTTGAAATGATGCACATGTCAACTATAACGCCCAAAATCAATGAGCATACACAAATGAACTTTTAAATTTTTTTATACTCATTTTGTAAATTATGTATGCTCATTTGGTACTGTTTTATGCTCATTTTAAAATGATGCACATATCAAACATATCATACTACATTAGACTCACATATTGAAATTAATTATAAACATAATATAAGAATTTTTTATAAACGAAAAAATAATAAAAAAAATTGAATTAGAAGATATGAATCAGAAATCACTTGTGCTCATTGTTAGACTCTTAATACTCAAAAGAACAGACTCAATGCTCATCACAAACGCATAATGAAAATCACTGGTGCTTATAATTTAAAGTTGATGTTCAATGACAATGTCTTGATATTCAATTAAATATACTTATGATTTTCATATCAATTCTCATTTATAAGTTATGTATGCTCAACGGGTATTCATGTTATGCTCATTTGTAAAATGACATAACAATGCATATTTCAAAAGTATCATATTGTATTAAATTCGCATACTGAAGTTCATAAGAGTTGATTGTAAATACTATCGTATAATTTAATAAGTTTTTATAAAGAAAAAATATGGAAAAGAAAGTAAATTCGAAGATATAAGCAGAGATCACGATGTTCATTGTTATGCTACTAATGCTCAACATAATATGTATCATGCTCACTAGACATGTTTTAATACTCATTTAATATAAGACGTGAATTTCATGTAAATTACAAAAATGCCACTGACTGTACGGTGTTCACCCTACAGCCGGCTGTACTATATACGCTTCCGTGCAAAAGGTCACGATACAATAATACGTGTAATCATATTAATACAAAATATGGGATGTTTCGAAGATAAACACCTACACCTTATCTGTCTTGCGTTCTGTCTTTTATTTTATTCCTTTTTTCTGTACCAAACAAGCTAAGGATACCTACCGATGACAGATGAGTTAGTTCCTTCCCTCATCATACTCCATATATGACCTTAATTAAACGAATTAAATTTCTTTATCTATTTGTCAATACTTATAATTTTTATTTCCCCATCTTGAATTAATGATTCATCTTAAATGAATTCAATTTTAATACGAATTAGTAGAATATTTTATGTAATTTTAAAATATATAAACTTTACTTGCTATATTAACTCATCCATTTAATTAGTGTAAATACGTAAAAAAATCCCTACTTATATCGACATGTAGATCATCTCTTCTCCCCCATCACTTTAAAGTTAAAACCTTAGCTTTCAGATATTTTAAAAGAGTGATCGAACAGCAATCTCAGTTTGTTTTGTTATGAATTGCAATGTGCCATCCCTATCTGCTTCTTCAATGCCATGACTTTTCATTAGGACTCATATTCTTATGTACATTATATCAAACTAAACATGTTTTTTTAATAGAAAAAACACATATCATTAATTAAACCAAACTGTCAGTATGTAACTGAGAGACAATACAATCAGATGAATTACAAAACACATAAAAACCATTCGATATAGAAAAAGCAGCCTTAGCTAGCTTATGAGCTACTACATTCGCCGATCTTCTTCCATATATGACTTCTATTCTATCTTCATTACGAAGGTTGAGTCTTATAATATTATCTAAAATAGTGTCCAAATAGGAATCTTCATCCCGCTTCTCCAGTCCAGATGCAACCACAAGAGTATCAAACTAAACATGTTATGAAAGCAATATTATGTTGGGTGTGTTTCGGAAAATAAAGAAAATTAATTAAAATAAATTAATTAAATAAAATGACAAGAGAAAAACAAGAAAGGAGATGAAGCAGAATTAGTCAAAGCTCGTGCTACGCACGATTTCCTTAAAACGTATTTGTTGCCTCCCACGGTGCTAGGAGCGTTGCAACAATCGTTTCCCAGGATACGATGACTACGAACTAATGTTTGAGCACACAAACAAAAGTTCCAGCGAACGAGAACACAGAGGGAATTTTCAGATTGGTAGCAGTGTGTTTTAGAGGTGCAAAACGTGCATGGAGTGTATGAATTCATGTGTTGTTGCAAACCACCTGCCAGCCTTTATATAGGAGGATTTGTTGTGTGTAAATGGCGAATTAATGGACCTGAACGTTGGACATCAATGACCAGTCCGTTGGGCATTGAATCGTCCATGAATTGTCCATTTAACGCTGCATTAAAAGATAAGAACGTTGGACATTTATTGTTGTAACGGTTCAGAACGCGACCAGAAGACCTCCCAACAGAATACCCCCACGAGGGATTCTGTCTGAAGCCAACAGAATACCCCCACGAGGGATTCTGTCCGACGCCACCAGAACACCACACCGAGGTGTTCTGGTCGAGGCCTTCTGACCGGTCCGTTGGGCATTGAATCGTCCATGAACTGTCCATTTAACGCTGCATTAAAAGATAAGAACGTTGGACATTTATTGTTGTAACGGTTCAGAACGCGACCAGAAGACCTCCCAACAGAATACCCCCACGAGGGATTCTGTCTGAATCCAACAGAATACCCCCACGAGGGATTCTGTCCGACGCCACCAGAACACCACACCGAGGTGTTCTGGTCGAGGCCTTCTGACCGGAGCAGTTCTGCTAGGCACTTCTGGGAAAAAATAAACGTTTCGGGAAGAAAACAAAAATTAACTATATCTCTTGAGAGATAGATTTTTGGACGACATTCGTGTCCGCAGGTCACCCGCGCTCACAAGTCGCGGTTTTTCTTCTCCGATTTCGGGATTTGATTTGCACCCCCTGCGCGCGTGGAGAGTGCCTTTACCCTTAGGAATCTTAACTCCATAAGGGGGGAGGCCCTTTATAAAGGGTTGCAAATCCCTTGGGTTTTCCGGTGTGGGAAATTAACACACTAGAAACCCATCCTTTTTCCCAGTTTTTCCATTCTAACGGGTAAACTTCGAAAAGCGATTTCTCATTCACCCGTTATCCGTTTTGAGCGTACCATATATCGAATTGTAGCCCTTAACAAAGACAATCCGAAACCACTTTGACCCGACCCAAATCGGAAGTGAACCCCACTCAAAAAATTGCCCCAAAATAGCCATTTAATGCAATTTTTCACACATTTTTCCAACATATTACATATATACCATGTTCTCATAAAAGATTGTTCGGAACAAATATGTAATTACGTAAGGCTAATCATAATTCATTTAAAATCTGATCGAATTATGAAATATAGTGATTAGTTTTACATTACTAACGATTTTTTGATTTAATAAAATGTTGACTGTTATTCAGTCAACTTAAAATTATCTACATGAATACATGATGTTTTTCTTAAAAGATTTTTTCAATCAATTGAGCATATATAGTTATATTTAGAACTCATTGAATTGATAAAGCTGAGGTTTGCTGAGGGTAATGAAATTGCTTAAGCTCTATCTCATTTGATTGAATCTTTTGAATTATGAAAAAAATAAAATAAAATAAATGAAAATTGAATTTTGTACATCTTACTCATTTTCATTATAATACAATTTGGTGTGCAAATATAAAGTTTGGCATTCGATAAAAATTGACTAACTAACACGGATGTGATGAAAAAATAGGTTGCAAGAGGGCTCTTGGTAATTTGCATCACTCAATGCGCAATTAGAATACACATGATGTATATTGTTGTTACTTTTGTGTGTGTAAATGCATTAGTACATCAATGTCCTAGACTCCTAGTGGCTTGGAGTTGTAACGTGCACTTCAAATACGAAAGTATCGCGTATGGAAATAATTTGAAGTAATACAATTTGAAGAATCATGATATTTACCGTTTGAAATACGTAGTACTCTTTGAGCTCAATTTGAGTACGAAATTTCTTCTAGAGCCAGTTCGATCATACATTCATTTCGTTTATCATGTAACTTTGGATCAATTTGGTCTATTAAATTAGACAATAATACAAAAAGTAAGATTGAATTTAGAGTCATTTGATAACTTCTATTTTCAACTTATCAGTCTTATCAACCATTTTTTGTCGAACACGTATATTTTTATTTAACAAGATGAATTGTGTAATAATTAAAATAAGGGTTGAGTTACATTTGACTGAATTAGCTTAAGTTAGTATAAAAACAATTTAAACTATTTTTCGTATATACGGCATATGTTTTAAGTTTTTTAATGAAATAAACTTTACATTCTGCATGTTTTCCCCCTCATAGTTTAGCACATTTAACTAGAAATTCATAAATTTGATCAAATTCAACCAATTCAATCAATTTTAGTGTTACCAACATGCTGTTACATTTTTGTTGCATTGCAAGATATAAAGATAACTATTTCCGCTATAATTTTCATATATATATGTATGTATGTATGTATGTATGTATGTATGTATGTATGTATGTATGTATGTATGTATGTATGTATGTATGTATGTATGTATGTATGTATGTATGTATGTATGTATGTATGTATGTATGTAAGTATGTATGTATGTATTTCTTTATTTTTGAAATTTATTTTTTTTAAATATAATATTTCAAGAACTCGACAAATTCATTCGTTTAACTCATAATTTCATTTATTTTAATAAATTCAGTCGATTAAATCAATTTCAATTTTATTAAACAAGCTCTTAGAGTGTATCCGTATTTTTAAGCAGTTTTTCAAAGAAATACTCGATTTTTTTTACAAAAATACGGCTAATAAATTACAATAATTAATCTCGTAATCACTTAAGTGTATAAATTAAACATAAATTTTTATCACTAAATTACTGGAGTACTATGTTGTATGTTCACAAAGTCACATTTTTTATAAACAACATTTATGGAATTATTTCAAACATTAATTCCTTGGCCTAAAATAACTTCTCAAAAAGGACAAACGAAAAGGATGACACCCCATCCCTGAGGGCTCCTTAACACCGACCGGACGTCACGATGGGAGGATGTAAATTGAACTATAATCACAATATGACAGATAGAGAGTGGGGCTCCGTCCACGATACTTGCAGATGCCCTATGCATTTTTAGCATAGTAACCTCTCATCGCAATTGCCGAGATTCAAAGCCAGGACCTAATCCCTAATCCTTGTGGCACTCCCTTGTTACCGGTTGAGTTACGCCCACAAAAAGGACAAAGGAAAAAGAAAGCCACGTTACTCTTGTTAAAGGGTGAACAAAATCGTCCCAATTTACCTGCATCCTATTACTGTAGATTAAAAGGGTCTCAAAGATATAGCTGCAGCCTGCAGCTGCAGTCCAGTGCTGTATATTTTTGTTTTACAGAGAAATTAAAGCAGTCTGCTTCAGCAAGGGAACACATTAGATTCTTTCTTACATAACACTTCCATATTAAAGAACACTAGAGCGCAGACAATTTAGTGCACTCCCACTATCAAGTCCCTCGCCGGAGGGGCGTGGATATTGTTCTACCTAATGTCAGAATATCTTTATAGTGAAAATTAATACCAAGTACCTTCTTTATAAGAAATCTGCATTTTCATGTGGATTCAGAACCTGGGTCTCAGCCAAAATGCAATCTTTAGACAAGTCTAACGTTGATTTGGAAGCAGGTGGTGGGGACGGTGGCCGTTCTTCCGGCGAAGAGTTGTGTAAGAGTGAGATTATCGGTGTGCCGGAAAAGAGGAGGAGATCATCGGTGTCAGAATACCTGGATGTGGATCTGGAGGCAGAGGGGCAAGAAAATGAGGTACATTTGGAGAAATCCGAGAGGGATTGCAGGATATGCCATTTGGGATTGGATGCAGATAACCCTGATTCTGGGCTGCCCATTGAACTGGGCTGTTCATGCAAAGATGATTTGGCTGTTGCTCACAAACACTGTGCTGAGGCTTGGTTCAAGATTAGAGGAAACAAGTAAGTTTGCATTCATATATGTTTAAAAAAATCTAGACTTTTATGAGTTCTTAAAATTTCTTTTACATTGGAGTTTTTGTGGCTGTGAATACTATTTGGGGCATTTTCAGATAGTTGTTGAATATCCATGTCTTTAGCGTAAAGACTTGGATTGGACTGGTTAATCAATTGTATTCATTAATGTATTGAAGTGATTTGAGTCAAGTGATCTTGGTACTCATTAATCAACCTAACTAAATTCTGAGTTCTACAAGTTATTATAGCAGGTTATGACTTGCTTTGTTATTCAACTCTCCATCTGGATGTCCAGGCTGAGCGGCCTGTGACCTCTTTAACCCAGTTTGAGGGGAGTGTCCGAGTAAGCCGGGGTTACCCGGAGGGCGAATTTTAGACTTAAAAGAGCAATTTTACCCAAATTCCTTACAGTCTATTGAGTGATCTGAACTCAATTCTAAATCCTACCTTCACGCCCCTTATAATTTAGGTGGTTGCAAACTTGAGGCTCATACTTCTCTACTTTTGACTCCTTCACTGCCAAAATATGGCTGTCATTTCTATAAAATGAAGATTTTTAATATGCTAAAGTTACTATTAACTTTATTTTTTGTTAATTTGTGTTGTATTTGATGTAATATGAGGGTATTTTAAAATGAAAAAAAGTTATCTTGTATTATATGTAGTATGTGTAGGACAAACCCAAAACTTGTTTATTAGAGAGAAATATTATACTTTGAGTCTTTGATGTTGTTATTTTTGGTTTATTTCCACTATTAGCTTCAGTTAAATTCATAGTTCAGTAGTGGCTGGTAATCATTGAGTTAATGGGGACATTGGTTGGAAAATGCATAGTGGGAAATCTTTATCTTTGGCTTTAGTGTGTGAGCTTTAATTAGAATACTTTGGGAAATGTATGATGTGGAAGTGGGAGTGTGGAAGATATAAGGATTTGGGCAAGTTGAAAAGTCTATAAGTTGGATGTTTTTCTTACTCATCCTTTTTCTACTTCTGGGGTTGACTTTGCATACTCATAAAAGTCTCCCTGTGTTTCTACATACTAATTCATACTCTTTTGATTGCCAAACTATACCAGAAAATAATCAACATTTTCTTGTAAAGCATTTGGAGAAACAATTTTATTTATCATTGCAACTTGCAAGAATATTCCCTTTATGGGTTCTGTTTGGCTGGACTTGTTATTTAGTAAGTTACATCTGACCTAACATTATGAACAGATTTTCCCACCCTCTTTCAGTCTCAACCTACAGCTTTTGGTGCATCAGTTCGAAAATGATGCAAAGACACAGAACCAATTTATGGAATATTGCTTTCAGATCTTCCTCATTTATTTCTCCATGACTGAACTTTCTCAGATATTCTTTTGTGGTTATTTAAGGCTACTTGAACAGCCCATTCACTACCATTTCATTTTGTGTTTTTGAACCTTACAGAGTATATTGGTAAGACAAGTTCATTCCTCAAGGTTGTTTTTGGGTTGTCTTTTCAATGAGTAATGACATTTGTTAAGAAACTATTCCACTAACTTCTAAGTAAACAGACCCTTAGTAAAAATTACATATTCTTCTTATCTGCCTAATAAGCAACAGGAATCATACAAAACTGTAAATGGGATCCATAATTGCTTTATTCTTTACTTGCAACTGTAAGTTCTGAATGTTGACTTCTTTATAAAAGTATAATAATCACCTAGAAGCTTCCCGTCTGTAGGACTTGTGAGATTTGTGGATCAATAGCACAGAGCGTGGTTGTGATACATGATGCCGAGCACAGTCAGGATCCGGATCCCGAGCTGCAAGAGCAGTCAAGCGATGCAAGTACAACCACTGCGACCGTGGAAACACCGGCACCCGCAACAAGGTCCCGGAACTTCTGGCAAGGTCATAGGTTCCTTAACTTCTTGCTAGCTTGTATGGTGTTTGCCTTTGTCATCTCCTGGCTCTTTCACTTCAATGTACCTTCATGATAGCATCTCCTTGATGAAAATGAATGCAGAACAATTCATTTCCATGTTGTTGTTCATACTAGCCGCATAGCTTATTCCAATTTGTACCATTACATGTTGTAATGATGTTTGGTGTAATCCTATGAATATCCTAATCCTTGGTATGAATTGAGTTGATGTGTGTTTAGCTTCAATCAGCTCAACGAGGATGCTTTGGCCTTTGGGTATAAAAGTGATATTCCTTCCATTCAAGATTGTATTGATAATTACTTGTGCAATTTACATATTTAGAATCTACATTTGAAGATCTATTAAAACCTCAAAAACCAAATTGGACTACCATAAAAGTATGATACTCAAAATTACAGAACAAACAAAGTAAACTTATAAAAAAAATCTTTCCTTTTCATTTTTTCATCAGAAATACAGCTAATGGTCAATAACTCAATATACGTCTTCCGCCAACTAGCGATTGCTGTAGTCTAACTGTTTTTGACGTAGCTTGAGGTTTCCTACATTAAAATTTGGTGGGGTTAATTAACCTTTCTTTTCTAATCAAATAAAGTTTAGTGACTCACTTAATGTTTATTTTTAATCTAACTTGGGTGTGTAGTACCGAGTTAGAGTATTAAACCAGCGCAGCTTTGCAACATTAAAGTACTTGTTTGAATTCCTAATCCTAATTTAATCATAATCATAATATGTGACTTGATTTGGCGTGTACTTGAAATAGTAGAAGAGAATTTTTCTTCACAATATATTCTCTTCATAGAAGTTCCACGTTCAGAGAAAAGTACTTCATGAATATAACTTTTGTAACTTTGACCCATAGAAATTTGAGAACTAGTCTTTAAGATCAATACAACTAAATATGGACAAATATATAAACAAACTATTCTTTTTCAAAAAAAAAAAAAATATAAACAAACTATTCACAATTTTTGTGTGTGTAACGGCCACAACAACTAATTTCAATTTATGAGAAAAATATTGAATGCATCTTGGGTTGCCAGTGCTTCGCAATTCTCAAACATCATCCCAATTATCTATTATGCCTCAAAAAACTTAATGGATTAACAATTTTAAACATTGCACATGTGGTCTTGGAAAAGATTAATTATAAAGCAATTATTGATGATTTTACTTCACAATGTTCTTTTGTGATATTTGTGTTGTTACTTTTGTCCAAATATGCAATTCAAATAATATGAAGGTGAATTTCATCTTTATTTTATAACCTTTATTAGATAGTTGTAGGGAGAATTCCTGAATTAGGAGTAATTTTTTTTTTGAATTTCAAAAGAGGACTGTCATGTGTTAGTTTTTTGAATATGAGTAATTATTGTCATGTTCGGAAAATACTACCATGTGTAAAATATGATACTGTCAGAATATGAAAATAATTACTTCTATTTGGAGAATATAAACATGATAATCTTAGTTTGGAATATACAAACGTTTTTAGTCGTATATAGAGTAATTTGTCCTAATTTTATTTTACTCCGTAATTTTTACTTTAAGTATAATTTACTGTTTCTCTTGGAAATAAGGCCGAAATATCATATCGCCCATAGGCCAAAAATTGGACAGGACCGGCCCTGCACATAACCGATATATTTATTACTCCCCTGTCTCACTAAGACTATCTTATTTTTTCTTTTTAATTCATATCACTAAGATTGTCCTATAATATATAAGGAGTACTAAATTTGGTAAAATCTGTGAGTTCTAAATGACTTTTATTGTTAGTTTTAATTTATCAATTCAATATTAAACACATAACCACATCACACGTTTTAATATCAGTGGGAATGAGGTAGTTTTGACTCTCTATTTACCGGAGTAATTATGTTTTTGTTTTAGATCGTGCATGTTCACCATTAAAGTCATACACAAGGCAAAGTTGAGGCCTAAAGTAAATAATGATCACAATGTAGGGGAGTAGGGCACGCTCACCAGTTTTTGGTTTGTAGTCTGACCGTTTCAATTCTATTTAGGGTTGGTTTGCAATCCCTTTTAAAAAAGCACTTTTCAGCTTTGGGTTTTAAAAAAGCACTTATGTTTCCAAACACCACAACTTTTATTTTTCTCGGCTTCCGCGTCAAAAGTGCTTTTACTTTTTCTATTACACAAAAAGCACTTATTTTACCAAACACTACCCACTTTTACTTTTCAAAAGAGTAAAGGGTCAGTTTGGTCCTCGAAGTTGCAAAAAAAGCGTCAAATAAGTTCTTATATAGAAGATTCTGTCCGGACGTGCGATTTGAGGTGGCTCCCGGTGGAATTTTGTGATAATTTTTTTTGAGCATCTTATTCATCAAGTCTAGTTTACTCATACCAAATTTCAGCTAAAAATTCAATCGGGAAGACATTCAAATGAATTCTTGAAGCTAACAACGCTTTTAACGGCACAGTTATCTTCAAGAATTCATTTGAATGTCTTCCCCATTGAATTTTTATCTGAAATTTGGTATGAGTAAACTAGACTTAATGAATAAGATGCTCAAAAAATTGCATCAAAAAATTCCACCGGGAGCCACCTCAAATGGCACGTCCGGACAGAATCGTCTATATAAGGACTTATTTAACCCCTTTTTTGCAACTTCGAGGACCAAACTGACCCTTTTTTCTCAAACACTATCAACTTTTATTTAATCACTTCTCCCTATTTCATTAAAAAAACACTTTTTTAAAAGCAGAAGCTGTTGCAAACAGACCCTTAGTTTGACGAAAAGTGAAATCTCATCCATAGGTTTTCACTCTGTAGCTATCTTGTACACAATTAAAGAGGTGTGCACAAAAAGTGTACAAAATATGTGTACACCAAGCACTCCTCTTCCTCCATCTCTTTTTTTACTTGGGGTTATGTATTAGTTTATGTGTAATGCATACGTTTAGCTAAACAATTACTATGTATATGATTTCTCACGGAAAAGTAAAATTAAAGAGGAATGTTTATTTACCGGCTTTAAATCACTTCAATTCCCATTGAATCGACCATGGTCACTACATAGTACATACGAAGTACTATCAATATACGAGTATTATCGTATATAGTGCTCCAAAATGCTTCTAGAAGATTTTTGTAGTAGTTACTAGTTAGAGGACATCAATTTCAGAAAATTGATTTTGATTCTACTTTTATTTTTAAACACACTCATAATACTCCGTAACAAACTGTTTTAAAAAAAATACTCCGAAACAAACTAGCATACTTCCTCTGTTTAATGAAATAATTTATTTTTCTTTATCATCAAAGTTTGTTTTTATTTTTGTCTTGTGAATCTCAGTTGTTTATCCTATTCCGACTTTATTGTTGTGATTTAACTTTCGGCTATAAATGTAAATTTTAATTATTAAATTGATTATAATATTTGTTGGGGAGATTTAACATTATTATGAATCAAGCTTAAAAGCTACAAATTGTAAATCAGTTTGTGAAGTAAGGAACTAATGAGTTGAAGTACGTATAAGGTTTAAAGTAATTTGATTGGTGTTTAATACTCCGTATAGAATCAGTTCGTATACCGTGGTATCACCCCACGGTGAGCACCATGCTCCCGTACCCAAAACGACGTAGTTTTGTATATATATATATTTTTAAAAAAAATTCGCGTGAACAGTAACACGTGAACAGTACACGCGTGTACAGTAACTGTTTTTTTGTCCGAATAGTATGAATGATGTAAGTCGCGTGTAAAGAAATGTAACTCACGTTATTGATCGATGTAACTCAAGTCCAGTCGAAATGTATCTTGTCAAAGATATAGTATATAAATAAAAAACATTGATTTCAATGTTAACAATAAAAAACGAGTCTAATTGGTCGATTACTTTACATAAGTAGTGAGAATGTTTTGTTTTTAATATCAGGGACATAAAGATTATTTGAAAAAAATCTTTTTTTGTTGTTTCAATAGCAGAGGTAGTTATTTATGATGTAACTCGTGTTAGGTGAAATGTAACTCGTGTTGATAGAAGATGTAACTTATGTGTATGCAAAATGTAACTTGCTGAGACAAGTCTAAATGCAACTCGCGTATAACAAAAATGTAACTTCACTTACACTAATGTAAGTGACACATAAAATGATGTAACTTACATAAAATAATGATGTAACTCATTTTAAAAACATGTAAATCGCGTTAAATGAACTGTATAATAAATACAATCGTATATGAATTTGATGGATTAAACTCAAGCATTTAATGTATTCCAGTGGGTGAACCTCATCACCAATTTCAAGGAGAGCAACCAACGATTTTAATGTGGGATGGAAAAATCATGATCGTGGTGGGAACTTAGTGATGGATCTGTTTTGTGTCTGACTGTCTGAGCTTCGTCTCCAAGCTGGGAGCAGAATTTGACCAGGCAATTTTGAAGTAGAAGAGGGTACGAAGCACATATGTGGAGTAACGAGGTCTGCGCAAGCAATTCCAGATGCATAGCAAGGCAGAGCAATTTTCTCCTCGAGATTCACTGCTGCGGGACTCCTGCGCAAGACGATTTGTTATGTTCGTGGTGTTTGCGCTTTGTTTTAATATTAAATGGTACCGTTTCGGGATCGGTACACCATGCTCATGGTGCACCGATCCCACGGTATAATTTGCGGTATAGAATCGGTTTATATATATAGCCACTTTTTATATTCCATCCTCAAAGTTATTTAGAGGATAGTGAATTCAGAATATCTTTCAATTTTACTTTCCGTCACATGGACTTACAAATTACAATTCCCCCAAGAGAGGTACTTGAGTGAGGAAGCTCTAACTGGATCACCTAACTCGTGAGTCAATAAATAGTCTTCGCGATCGTAACCAAAGACCAAAGTAATTACATTTAGTCATAAAACTAATTTAAATTTTAGTTATTTTGATTAGTACTCAATTTCACTTACGAAATTAAAAGTTTAGTGTTTGATAAAAGATTTGATCATAGAATTGATTGTCGAAAAACTAAAGAGATATTACCCGAAATAGGACTAAAAATGTTTGAAAATTCCAAAATAGGACCGTCATATTTTTATTCCCAAAATATGACTAATTACTGTCATGTTTTGGCAGTACCAGACTTCAAACATGACTGTATTTTCCAAACTTGACAGTAATTACTCCTATTTTGGGAATAAAAAACATGACAGTCCTATTTTGGAATTTTCAAACTGTTTTAGTCCTATTTCGGGAACTTACCCAAAACTAAACTATCAAGCAAGCTATTAGTCACGTGACTTGGGATGTTTTCTTTTGGATTGAAATTTGTTGGTTTGGTCTGGTCTGGTGTGATCTAGTCTTGTAAAGTTTGGTCTCTGTGTATTTTAT